ATTTTATATTATTTAAAAAAAAATTAACCAGTATGAAATTTTTAATTAATTGCAAATCCAAGGTTATAAATGAAAAAAAACTGCCCCAGACCCAGTTCTATAAAGTTTCAACAGGGTTGAAATGATCCAGCTGTGTGTGTGATGGTAACGTACTTGTACGTGGCGTCTATCAGCGTTTGCAGGATGTCGTCGTTTTTCTCCTCGGCTTCTCTTCGCTTCTTGATGACGTTGTAAAAGATTTTCTTGATCTCTAAGTGTGCGCGATCCCTCCGTCTGAAAACAAAGCACAGAAACACAACACCGTGTGACATCCGAGCTCTTCCTCTCCGTGTTCACAGGTGCGATGATGCTGTGCTACCTGAAGCTGGGCAGCGGCAGCCATCCGGGAAGCAGCCAGGCGGCGTGAGTGAAGCCTCCGTCCAGATCGGCGTAGAGCTGCGCGACTCTCTCGTCCAACATACTGCGGATCTCACAGCCGTGGAGACAGCGGCTCGCCGTCAGGATGACCAGCTCGGACAGCGCCTCGAACAGATCTGACGAGAGACAACACCGTCTAATACTTTTATTCCTGTTGAAGGTGAAATCAAGATTTACTAGTTCAGACAAAGATTTTAAAAATGTGCTGTAAATGCACACACCCTCAGATCATCCCAGATCAGGTTAATATTGGTTCTTCGTCAGATTTGGAGAAATGTAGCAGTGCATCACGTGTTCACTGCAAGTGAATGGGTGCCGTCAGATTGAGAGTCCAAACAGCTGATAAAAACATCACAATAATCCACAGCACTGCATCAGTTAACATCTGGAGAAGACAAAAGCAGCTGAAACTAATCCAGCATTAAGACGCTTTTAACTAAAATACATTGAGTCTATAATCCATAATAACTCTTCCTCCAGTGAGTCAGTGTTCTGGTGTGAATCAGGAGAGAAATCTGCACAGATCAAGCAGCGTTTAAACAGCTCTAAACACATATGTGGCTGGTTTTGATGTGAGAGACAACAGCAGATGCACTTTTTCACCGGAGGAAGAGTTATTATGGATTATGGACTTAATGCTGGATTTTTTTCATCTTTTGTCTTCTCCAGATGTTAACTGATGCAGTGCTGTGGATTACTTGTGATGTTTTTATCAGCTGTTTGGACTCTCAATCTGACGGCACCCATTCACTTGCAGTGAACACGTGATGCACTGCTACATTTCTCCAGATCTGACGAAGAAACAAACTCATCAGTGCGTGTTCTTCTAAAGAGAAAACTGATGGATGCAGAATAAATCCGTCTGCTTACTCTTCTCTCCGCTGTCCCCCCATCGTTTGAAATAGTCTTTAGTTTCCTCTTCGATTATTTCGACGTGTCGTTTGAACTGTGCGATGTTCAGCCCCGTCTTCAGCATTTTCTTCTGCTCCAGAAATAACTGAACGGACACAAATCAAATAAAAAATTTAGCTTTTAGGGTCAAAAACAAAGACATATCAACTACACAACCACTGCATTATCTAGCAGGACTTTCCATGCTCTGCAATCCTGTTATTTATTTCCAGACTATTTTGTAGACTCCAGCAGAAGTGCGTGATCTTACAGGATTGGGCACGTCGTACGCGACTCCCTTTCCGAACACGGGTGTGGTGAGGCGCGCGTAAACGTCCTCCGCGTTCAGATCTTCGTTCTTGCTGTTGAACATGAGTGCGGCCGCGTCGCTTCCCAGCAGATACGTGAAGGTTTTCCCCACCATCGTGAAGCTGACCACAGGCCCGTACTACGAGACAACGACATCAACACTGACATGAGCTCGGATCACGGCCTGTTACTCCAAACCTGCGTCTGAATGGCTCTCACCTTCTCGTAGGCCTGCTCCAGAAACTCAATGGGACTCCTGCCGAAAGCCACGGCGTGACCGAGGAACGGAATACTGGACGGGATATGAGGAGGATATTTCTGAGGAAACCAGAGGAAATTAATGGTTATAAGTGACGATCACAGAACAACAGATACAACGAGGGATGGAAAAAAAGAATGACCGATTGAAAGATACTGTTGTGAGCAAACGTTCTTCCAGTAACATTAATAGAACGTTTGTTCAAAGTTATCTGGTCTCAAAACGTTAGAATAAAAACATTATCATTCATGGAAAGTTTTTTTTTTTTTCTTTAAATGTTTTTTTGTTGTTGTGCTTTTTTTACTACGTTCAGAGAACATTCAAAAGTAGCATTCCCCACAATGTTTACAAAGTGATCAAACGGAATGTTCCATTAACATTCACATGTAACATTTTTTAATATTTTTAAAAAACTGGATGTTTTGTACCTTCAGAGAGCGTTCAGAAATTTTGTTTTCTAAAGTCACTGGAAACATTAGCAAAATGTTATTAGAATATATTTGTTAACTTGGATAGAACAATGGCTAGAACATTAGTCAGACAGACTGACAGACAGATGGACGGATAGACAGACAGACAGACAGACGGATGGATAGATACAGATAGACAGACAGACAGATGGATGGATAGATACAGATAGACAGATAGACAGACAGACAGACAGACGGATGGATACAGATAGAGATACAGACAGACAGATGGATACAGATAGACAGACAGACAGACAGACGGATGGATACAGATAGACAGACAGACAGACGGATGGATACAGATAGACAGACAGACCGACGGATGGATACAGATAGACAGACAGACCGACGGATGGATACAGATAGACAGACAGACCGACAGATGGATACAGATAGACAGACAGACCGACGGATGGATACAGATAGACAGACAGACGGATAGATACAGACAGACAGATGGATACAGATAGACAGACGGCTGGATAGACAGACAGACAGACGGATGGATAGACAGACAGATAGATAGATACAGACAGACAGACGGATAGAGAGACGGATAAAGACAGACAGAACAAAGTATAGAAAGATGGATAGATGACATTGATTATTTACTTTAGTTCCACATCACACACTAGCCAGCACTCTTAATACAGTCCCACTGATCTCAACACTACACGTGATAATTACTCATGCCAGCAGATTCAATGATTCTCATGCACTCATGCACGCAGTTCCTGAACTCTAGGTAATACCGTGCACTCACTCTATCTCCAGCGTGCTGCTGCTGCTGTGTGAACAGGACTTTGCTCAGGTACCCCAGAGTGAGTGTGAGCACAGACGCGGCGAGCAGCACTGAGGTCAGACTCATCTCCAGCAGCTGACCGCTCACCTGCAGGATCGTCATTTCACTTATCTACCCCACAGCACAGGCCAGGAAATCAGGAGGCTTTAATAAAGCATGCAAAAAAATGTTTAGAGCTTATTAAGATGTTGACGACGTCCCAGACCGCTGACGTCCAACTGGCATCTCTCTATCACTGTAGACTTTAACACCTGCCCAGGTCCCGCCCCCGCCTGATGTGAGCAGGCCGCTCATTGGTCGTCTGGGTGTGTCCATCAAGTAAGTCCATGCTCCGCGTACGCCGTCTCGCACTCTGATTGGTCGGACGCTGCCTGAACTGATGTCTTTCTATATGACGTCACCTGCGTCGCTTATGGTCCAACTCCTCAAGTACACGTGCGTTACATATCGATTACATATCGTTTATTATCTGCTCTTTAAGCTTCTTCTAATTATTATTATGAGACTAACATTTCTGAAGGCTGCTCCTAGTGATTTTAAGCTACAACCTCTAAACTCAGCTCAGATCTTAAGATTGTTCTGATTTAGTGTGCTTGCTCTTTTCTAACTGATCGGACTTACAGTTTTCATAAAAATTGAGATTAAAAATCATAAAAATCTCATAGACTTGCATTGACGGAATGTTCAAATGAGCCAAGACCATTCATTTATTATAACAATGTACTAGTTCATTCTAGCAACATGCTAATTATGCTAGAAACATGCTAACAACATGCTAGAGACATGCTAATCATGCTAGAAACAAGCTAGCAATATGCTAACAACATACTAATCATGCTAGAAACAAGCTAGCGATATGCTAACAACATGCTAATCATGCTAAAAACTGGCTAGCAATATGTTAACAACATGCTAATCATGCCAGAAACAGGCTAGCAATATGTTAACAACATGCTAATCATGCCAGAAACAAGCTAGCAATATGCTAACAACATGCTAATCATGCTAGAAACAAGCTAGCGATATGCTAACAACATGCTAATCATGCTAAAAACTGGCTAGCAATATGTTAACAACATGCTAATCATGCCAGAAACAGGCTAGCAATATGTTAACAACATGCTAATCATGCCAGAAACAGGCTAGCAATATGTTAACAACATGCTAATCATGCCAGAAACAAGCTAGCAAAATGCTAACAACATGCTAATCATGCTAGAAACAAGCTAGCAATATGCTAACGACAAGCCAATCATGCTAGCAATATGCTAACAACAAGCCAATAATGCTAGAAACAAGCTAGCAATATGCTAACAACAAGCTAATCATGCTAGAAACAAGCTAGCAATATGTTAACAACATGTTAATCATGCTAGAAACAAGCTAGCAATATGCTAACAACATGCTAATCATGCTAGAAACAAGCTAGCAATATGTTAACAACATGCTAATCATGGTAGAAACATACTAGCAACATGTTAATCATGCTAAAAACATGGTAAAACATGTTCAAACATTCTAGCTATGTGCTAATTCATGCTTTAAACATGCTACCTATCTTACAATATTTTTTTAATTTGCAATGACTATAAATGAACAGGGTAATTGTATAATTGTATTTTTTTTAATTATTTTTTTTTTTTTATATATATATATATATATATATATATATATATATATACACACACCATCAAAGTTTCCAGCTAACATGCTGCATAAGTAAATTAAACCCTTTCTCCAAAGACAGAAAACTGTGTCTAGATCAGATCTTTATTTTATGCAATAAATGTTTTAATACAGCTCAAATCCCCAGAGGGCGCCGCGTCAAGACTTTTATTTTGAAAAGTTTGTTTACGTCCGAATGTGCGTCGTGCGTCGTGCGTCACGCCGTCGCTCGAGAAGCAGCGTCAAACTCTCCGTTCCACAAACAGCACATTATTTGTGTTTGTAGAGTTAAAAAATGACGGTGTGCAACTTCTTTCTTCAAGGTCGCTGTAGATACGGAGAAAAGTGCTGGAATGAACACCCGAGAGGCGAAAGAGGAGGAGATTACAGAGGAACCCAGCAGCCGAGCAGAGGAGGTCAAACTAACACGTTATATATTTAACAACCTTATGTTTTTGTGAGCTAAACAGAATCCAGATACAGCCTGATTCAACCGAGTGTGTCTTACAAAACAAATAACCGAAGTAATCCATTACTGATGACAGAAACCGCGGTTAGTAACGCAATCCGTTACATTACATATTTTAGGTAATGTAATCAGATTACTTTTGACCTAACTCGTTTATCACGTTGATTTATAATGGATAATAGTGATTTATATTTTAACTAAATTAAATAAATGCTGTTCTTTTGAACTTCATTCATCAAAGAGTTCTGGGGAAAAAAAGTATCACGGGTTAAAAAAAAAAATAATAATAATATATATATATTAAGCAGCAAAACTGTCACGTGACACTGAATGGAGTAATGATGCTGAAAATTAAGCTTTGCATCACAGAAATAAATTATATTTTAAAGTATATTAAAGGGATAGTTCACCCAGAAATGTAAATGTGATGTTTATCTGCTCACCCCCTGCAGGGCATCCAAGATGTAGGTGGCTTTGTTTCTTCAGTAGAACACATTTGATGATTTTTAACTTTAACCGTTGCAGTCTGTCAGTCGTATAATGCATGGCAATGGTAACAAAATCTATGAGAGTAAAAAAAAACATGCGCAGACAAATCCAAATTAAACCCTGCGGCTCGTGGCGACACATCGATGTCCTAAGACATGAAACCATCGGTTTGTGCGAGAAACCGAACAGTATTTATATCATTTTTGACCTCTAATACAGCACTATGTCCAGCTGCTTTGAGCGCGCGCACGGCATCCGGTGCGTGAGGTGTGTACGCGGCTACGCGCTCTGCCGTAGTTTACGCGAGCGCCGGAAGTGATCTCTCGCGCGTATACGTCACTCATTGTTTACACAGTGCACAGCCATTGTAGGTACGACGGCTAATCAAAATGGTACTTACTTGCGCTTATCCGGATTGTTCAACCGGACTTAAAACTAAAAGATTACGTTCTCTCGCGCGAACTCATTCGGGAGTGGTGACTTTCCACGTATTCCCAACTTCTGAGCCTGCTCGCCTGAAGTTATGCTTGATTGCTCTTCGGCTGGATATCAACACAGCCATTAACGTAAACTACGCCAGAGCGCGTACACACCTCACGCACCGGATGCCGTGCGCGCGCTCAAGGAAGTTGGACATAGTGGTGTATTTGAGGTAAAATATGATATAAATACTGTTCGGTTTCTCGCACAAACCGATCGTTTCGTGTCTTAGGACATCAATGTGTCGTCACGAGCCGCAGGGTTTAATTTGGATTTGTCTGTGCATGTTTTTTTACTCTCATAGATTTTGTTACCATTGCCATGCATTATACGACTGACAGACTGCAACGGTTAAAAATCATAATTTGTGTTCTACTGAAGAAACAAAGTCACCTACATCTTGGATGCCCTGCAGGGGGTAAGCAGATAAACATCAAATATTCATTTTTGCGTGAACTATCCCTTTAAAATAGAAAACCAGTAAATGCAGCCTTGATGAGCAGAAGAGACTTCTTTAAAACACATTACAAATCTTACTGATCCCAAACTTTTAAAACGGCAGTGTATATTTTCAGTTTATTTGGTCAGTTGTCAGTGCACATATTTCAAAGACAATAGAAATAATTATAAAATTACATATGATGTACGATGCACATGAACTAGTTGCGTTGACTATTAATTTAAACTATAATACATTTACATTTAATTTGCGAAGAAATGCAATAAGTGTCTGAAAATATTACATTCGGTATATTCTTTTAAAGTGTATTAATTCTGTAATAATAAATAGTCTTTTTAATAATAATACTGTATTAACTTCTTAAGACCCGGCAAAGCATTTAAAGAAAATAATTAGTATTTTTTCATGTCATTACATTGTTTTAAATGTAAAAAATTATATTTCATTCAGACATGAATAAACATGCATAAAGTATAAAGATAATTCTTTATATAAATCTTTGTATAAAGATAATTCTCAACTGTTATAACAGAATGATTTGATATACCATTTTTCTTCATGCAAAATGTGTGTAAAACAGCTGTAAACAGGTTTTCTCATTATATACATTGTATCTATAAACGAAATCTAATTTGCATATTAATGTGTTTTTGGGGCAACGTGTGATGAAAAAAGAAGTGTAATAATGGGAGTAGTAATTGACAAGATTTTCATAATATATAATATTTCATAGGAATATTGAAATATTATTTATTTCCCTATTCATTTGTTGTGTCGTGCCAAAATGCGTAATAAACATGCTTTTAGTCCCGGTGTCCTCATATGACATTAACGTCCGGTTTCATAACAGAAAGTCATATTTTGATTTGAAACACCATAACATTTTCCTGAGATCTTGAATTATGATACGCAGTTTAAAAATTTGATTTAAATGATAATTATAAAATATTATCATATTTCCATAAGAGTGTCACTAAATCAATATCAGACCTTTTTGTAGACCAAGGAGGGGGAGTGGTCACGGTGCAACATACTTTTTTACTGACACGCTTCATCTCTAAACTGAGCTCCAGCAGCAGTGACTGACTCGTGTTGTTGGTGTTTCTCAGGTTATGGGAACCGCGTGTGGATAAACCCGTCTCAGCGCACCGGCGGCGATTACGTCCAGCCGTCCTCGTTCTCTCGTGACGGAGATAATGACTGGAGCCGAGGAGGAGGAGGAGGAGGAGGAGCGTCACGAGACGTCAAGAGCTCTGACTTCAGCTTCAGCGGCCAGAACAGATTCTCAGCGCTCGCCTCGCACAGTCACTCTGATAAAGATGTACAGAGCTCCACGGATGATGTGTAAGTGCAGTTTACATCCATGCACTCGCTGCTTAACCAGAAGAGTTCATTTGCAAAAACTAAATTTTTATTTTATTTTTTCAGAAATCTCGGGAGGTTTTTTTATTGCGCATTCCAAGTAATATCAATCGAACTGCAGTTGGTTTGTTTTGATTAAGTAATAATAACTTAAAGAGGTCATCGGATGCCCAATTTCCACAAGTTGATATGATTCTTTAGGGTCTTAATGAAACGTCTATAACATACTTTAGTTAAAATTTCTCAATGGTAGTGTAAAAAACACCCTTTTTACCCTGTCAAAATCAGCTGTTTTCAGCGAGCTGTTCTAGTCCGTGTTGCTTTAAATGCTAATGAGCTCTGCTGACCCCGCCCCTCTCTACCGTGGAGTGACGAGCAGACTGTAAACTTCAGCCGCTAAACTTGCTAACTAGCACGTTATTAGGAAAGGCGATTTGCAAAGATTCATAAAAAACCCTTATACTCACTTCTACTGTAGATGAAGCTGGATCACGAATGATTCGCATTAACTTAAACGCATTTATGTAGATCGGGGGTCGACACATTCCCTTAAAAAATTAAAGTAACGTTAATTCTCTGCGTCACAGATGTCGGGAGTGAATAACGACTGCTATATTCGTTACTACATCCAACAACAAAACACCTCAATCGCTTAATCAGAGACGTTCTTGTCTTCCCCTGCACAATCGACACAATGGTGGACTGATGACAGCTCACTCTGTCAGTGCACATATTTCAAAGACAATAGAAATAATTATAAAATTACATATGATGTACGATGCACATGAACTAGTTGCGTTGACTATTAATTTAAACTATAATACATTTACATTTAATTTGCGAAGAAATGCAATAAGTGTCTGAAAATATTACATTCGGTATATTCTTTTAAAGTGTATTAATTCTGTAATAATAAATAGTCTTTTTAATAATAATACTGTATTAACTTCTTAAGACCCGGCAAAGCATTTAAAGAAAATAATTAGTATTTTTTCATGTCATTACATTGTTTTAAATGTAAAAAATTATATTTCATTCAGACATGAATAAACATGCATAAAGTATAAAGATAATTCTTTATATAAATCTTTGTATAAAGATAATTCTCAACTGTTATAACAGAATGATTTGATATACCATTTTTCTTCATGCAAAATGTGTGTAAAACAGCTGTAAACAGGTTTTCTCATTATATACATTGTATCTATAAACGAAATCTAATTTGCATATTAATGTGTTTTTGGGGCAACGTGTGATGAAAAAAGAAGTGTAATAATGGGAGTAGTAATTGACAAGATTTTCATAATATATAATATTTCATAGGAATATTGAAATATTATTTATTTCCCTATTAATTTGTTGTGTCGTGCCAAAATGCGTAATAAACATGCTTTTAGTCCCGGTGTCCTCATATGACATTAACGTCCGGTTTCATAACAGAAAGTCATATTTTGATTTGAAACACCATAACATTTTCCTGAGATCTTGAATTATGATACGCAGTTTAAAAATTTGATTTAAATGATAATTATAAAATATTATCATATTTCCATAAGAGTGTCACTAAATCAATATCAGACCTTTTTGTAGACCAAGGAGGGGGAGTGGTCACGGTGCAACATACTTTTTTACTGACACGCTTCATCTCTAAACTGAGCTCCAGCAGCAGTGACTGACTCGTGTTGTTGGTGTTTCTCAGGTTATGGGAACCGCGTGTGGATAAACCCGTCTCAGCGCACCGGCGGCGATTACGTCCAGCCGTCCTCGTTCTCTCGTGACGGAGATAATGACTGGAGCCGAGGAGGAGGAGGAGGAGGAGGAGCGTCACGAGACGTCAAGAGCTCTGACTTCAGCTTCAGCGGCCAGAACAGATTCTCAGCGCTCGCCTCGCACAGTCACTCTGATAAAGATGTACAGAGCTCCACGGATGATGTGTAAGTGCAGTTTACATCCATGCACTCGCTGCTTAACCAGAAGAGTTCATTTGCAAAAACTAAATTTTTATTTTATTTTTTCAGAAATCTCGGGAGGTTTTTTTATTGCGCATTCCAAGTAATATCAATCGAACTGCAGTTGGTTTGTTTTGATTAAGTAATAATAACTTAAAGAGGTCATCGGATGCCCAATTTCCACAAGTTGATATGATTCTTTAGGGTCTTAATGAAACGTCTATAACATACTTTAGTTAAAATTTCTCAATGGTAGTGTAAAAAACACCCTTTTTACCCTGTCAAAATCAGCTGTTTTCAGCAAGCTGTTCTAGTCCGTGTTGCTTTAAATGCTAATGAGCTCTGCTGACCCCGCCCCTCTCTACCGTGGAGTGACGAGCAGACTGTAAACTTCAGCCGCTAAACTTGCTAACTAGCACGTTATTAGGAAAGGCGATTTGCAAAGATTCATAAAAAACCCTTATACTCACTTCTACTGTAGATGAAGCTGGATCACGAATGATTCGCATTAACTTAAACGCATTTATGTAGATCGGGGGTCGACACATTCCCTTAAAAAATTAAAGTAACGTTAATTCTCTGCGTCACAGATGTCGGGAGTGAATAACGACTGCTATATTCGTTACTACATCCAACAACAAAACACCTCAATCGCTTAATCAGAGACGTTCTTGTCTTCCCCTGCACAATCGACACAATGGTGGACTGATGACAGCTCACTCAGGGCGGAGCTAAGGTAAGACAGCCCTGTCAATCAACTATTGTGGGAGGGGCCTGTGCAGAACTACGTCATTCTGACAGTAATCTCAGAACAGCCTGATGTGAGAAAGGGGATTTTAAAAACCACTGGGTGGATTTTTATCATTATAGGATGGATGTGTACACACACTTCCAACACACGTTTTTGTTCAAACAACAACAAAAGTGAATTTTGCATCCGATGACCCCTTTAAACAAATACAGGTAATTACAAAATTAAAGTTCATTGAAAGTATGTTTTTTTTTTTACATATTAAAAGTTTGTTTTATAGCAAAAGCAGATAACTCCACATTTCATGCTTTAGAGTTTATAAAAACACTGGTTTAATCTTCGTAATCTCCTCAGATGGCAATGTAGACGCCTGACAAGCGTTGTTGTTGTGGTGATCATAAACTGTATGGATGTGATTACACTGAGCTTTTCCCTCTCCGTTGTAACGCGCTGCTTTCGCAAGCTTCCGTGAAAACCTTTCAGCTTTTATTTTCCTTTTTCGCCCTGAAGAAGATATCACAGGTTCATCAAGTTCGTCGAAATGATCCTCGATCACTTTTAGTCAGCTTTGACGAGACTCCTCTCAGCTAGCGTGTCCTTTCAGAGTGAAAGTAGCCTTGTCACCTGACCTGAATACAGCGCGCTGATTCGCTAAAATGGATTTATCGGCTTCTGTTCAAAAACAACAAGAGCGCATATCGGCTTCTGCAGTGAAACGTGAACTTGCGATGCCTTGGAAGTGAACAAAACCGGCTTTTTCGACAAAACGACGTGTTTAGGGTTCAGAGCGCGCTATGTGTGGAGAATAATGCACGGCAATCAGCTCGTTTTTTTTTTGTTGAAAGTGGCGTTATCGGTTTTTGCAAATGAACTCTTCTGATGCACTGCGCTTTGTCTCACTGTTGCATGCTTGCTTTTATTTCAGGGATACTATCCAGAAAGACATGGAGATCTGGCAGACTTCGGGTCAGTGGCCGTTTTCCTGTTATTCTGTCCTCCCCGGCAAGCTTTCAGGTGAGTTTAGCACTCAGACTTTCAGTCTTTTGCCTCTAAAGCAAATAGCTGGTGGGTTTTGCACAGTGAAAATGTTCTCTCCTGAACTGCTGCGTCTAAGCTGTTGCGTTGAGTTATTCTGGGAGTAAATGGAGGAGTTTTGTCTTCGTGTTGTGAATGTTATCTGTGTGTTTTGCAGGGTTTGTCGAGGTGTCTCCTGAGGAGCTGAGGCTGGAGTATTACACCGGCCGAGCATCTGGTGATTTACAGGCTTACGTAAGACCACGACTTCACTTCTACAATGAAAGAGAAGATTAATACACAACATTGCAGCAGCATCTGTGCATTTGAGGGAGCTACGCTTTTTACTAGAGCCCGACTGATATGGGTTTTTTTGGGGCCGATACCGATATTTGGGAGTAGAAAAAAGACCGATATCGATATATCGGCCAATATTCTTTGTATATATTATAGTACAGTACCAGTCAAAAGTTTGGACATTTTCCCATTCTTGTGTCCAAACATTTGACTGGTACTATATATAGAATATATATATATATACATAAACCGAATATATATACATAAACACATTTTTTGCAATGATCACTCAAATGTGGTGATCAAACACTTATAATGACGTGACAAAGATATGTAATGATGGAGGCAGAGCATTTAACAATTTAACAAACTTTATTATCCAAAATGAGTGACATCAGTGCACTGAACAGTAAAGTTGAAGTTTATTCAACTTTAATTCAATTCCATTCAACTTTATTCCGTTGAAGTTTATTTCACTTCAAACATTCATTCATGGATTTGTTCTACTGTCTTCACACACAGACGAAACTTACTAGAGAAGTGTGAAGTGGGACATAATATACCTCTGTAAATAAACACTTTTTAATGCCCTTTGATTGCAACGTGTACGTTCTCTTGGAACTGGAATCATGGCGGAATATCATGTGAGGTCCACTTCGCGGGGCACTTACGGTCGAATAAGACAACGCTTGAATGCTGCATGAACAAGTCCTTACTGAAGGGAAAGTGTTGACGTGTGTCACTATCTCACGAACGTGCCGGCGGATCTCCACCAAATTCGGGGCATCCCTTCAGCTCGAGGAGCCTCTCAAACGCCACCCTCCGCGCGTCGGTAGCCCCCCGGGATCGCTAGATCGGTCGGCGCCGGACCGCGAATTTAATCACCTGTAACTCCCGAACCCCGGGGGCTATCCACGCCAGGGTGGTCTCATTCAAAAGAGGGCCTCTAGACATATTCTCAATTTGATATATTTATGGTAGGAGATTTACTAAATATCTTCAAGGAACATGATCTTTACTTAATATCCTAATGATTTTTGGCATAAAAGAGAAATGTATAATTGTGACCCATACAATGTATTGTTGGCTATTGCTACAAATATCCCCCAGCGACTCAACACTGCTTTTGTGCTGCAGGGACACAGATATAAAAGCTGAGTTGCTGGGAGAATGATCAGAAGCCTCTCCAGTCGGAGTTGATGCGGCGGTTCTCTGCCAGCCACTGAACGAAGAGACTGACGCGAGCGTACGCTCCGGGCCGCTGCGGTCGAGCACAGCCGATGCCAAACGACGTGACGCCGACCAGAACCCAACCAGCAGCCTCTTCACACATCAGCGGCCCGCCAGAGTCCCCCTGACACACAATAACACAGAAAAACACCTTTCAATGATGCTCAAGTTCAGGATCAGTGCACGTTTTAATGATTCTTAGAAGAAGTTTCTTCTGCTCATCAAGGCTGCATTTATTTGATTAAAAATACAGAAAAAATAGTAATATTGTGAAATATTATTGCAGTTTAAAAATCTGTTTTCTGTGTGAATATCTGTTAAACTGTACTGTATTTCTGTGATGCGCAGCTGTATTTTCAGCATCATTACTCCAGTCTTCAGTGTCACATGATCTTCAGAAATCGTTCTAATATGCTGATTTGCTGCTCAAGAAACATTTCTGATTATTATTAATGTTGAACACAGTTGTGCTGCACGATATTTTTGTGGAAACTGTGATGCATTTTATTTTTCAAGATTCACAGATTAATAAAAGTTTCTAAAGAACAGCATTTATTTGAAATAGAACTCTTTTGCAGCATTATAAATGTCTTTACTGTCACTTTTGATTAATTTAATGCGTCCTTGATGAATAATTAGTGACCCTGGAGCACAAAAGCAGTGTTGAGTCGCTGGGGGATATTTGTAGCAATAGCCAACAATACATTGTATGGGTCAAAATTATAGATTTTTCTTTTATGCCAAAAATCATTAGGATATTAAGTAAAGATCATGTTCCATGAAGATATTTTGTACATTTCCTACCGTAAATATATAAAAACGTAATTTTTGATTAGTAATATGCATTGCTAAGAACTTAATTTGAACAACTTTAAAGATGATTTTCTCAATATTTAGATTTTTTTGCACCCTCAGATTCCAGATTTTCAAATATTGTCCGATCCTAACAAACCATACATCAATGGAAAGCTTATTTATTTGATGTATAAATCTCAATTTCCAAAAATTGACCCTTATGACTGGTTTTGTGCTCCAGGGCCACATTTCTGTTGCCAGTTAACTTGGCACTCGTCATGTTCCATGAAGATATTTTGTACATTTCCTACCGTAAATATATAAAAACGTAATTTTTGATTAGTAATATGCATTGCTAAGAACTTAATTTGAACAACTTTAAAGATGATTTTCTCAATATTTAGATTTTTTTGCACCCTCAGATTCCAGATTTTCAAATATTGTCCGATCCTAACAAACCATACATCAATGGAAAGCTTATTTATTTGATGTATAAATCTCAATTTCCAAAAATTGACCCTTATGACTGGTTTTGTGCTCCAGGGTCACATTTCTGTTGCCAGTTAACTTGGCACTCACTGAGAGTTCTGGTTTGATGTTTGTAAAAGCTCTCAATCTGTGTTGTTTCAGATGAACTCGGTTCAGCAGCTGGCAGACCAGTGGAGGAGCAGAGTTCAGGAGCTGCGGACCATGAGCAGCTCCACTCGGATCAGTGTGGTAAGATCTTCACAAGCTTCATCTGACACTGAACCGCATGCACAAACATAGCTGAAGTCATGTGATTGATGTCCTCAGATCTCCGAGCTCAATGACCCCAGTTCACAAACATCAACACATGAGTTCGGCTCCTCTGCATCAGCGTTTGGAACCACATCTTCATCTTCATCATCTGGCTTTGGAGCAGGAGGTTTGTTCTGGATTCAGTCAGAAATCTTGGGAAATGGAACAAATTATATTTTAGTTTTTTTTTTTTTTATATATATATCCAGTCGACTAGAGTGACTCATTGACAGACAGAACCACAAAAATGTCAATATTGTAGCACTTGTCTCTAAAACACACGTTTTTGCTCTACCTAATTTATACCATGAGGCAACGATTTTGACCAGGACAAGCTTTGAAGGACTTATTTAATAAGATGGGATCTAGAAAAACTAATGATAACAATTGTATCAGAAGTACATATAAAGAACCTCTTACAGACAAAATTGTGGAAACACTTAACAGTAAGGTTCCATTTGAACTAACATTGAAAAACACTTCTGAAGCATTTATTAATGTTAGTTCATGTTGATTTCAGCATTTACTAATAAACGATTAAAAGCTGAGCTAACATGAATGAATGTGTTTTTATTCATGTTAACAAAGATTAATAAATATAGGAATGTTTAAAATATTGTTTTATATATATATATATATATATAATAGGGTTGCAAAAATTTAGAAATTTTTTGGAATATTCCAGGGATTTTTGGAAAGTTTCCGGAAATTTAATGAATTGTACACTACCAAAATTTAGGGTCTGTAAGATTTAAAAAAAATGTTTTTTAAAGAAGTCTCTTCTGCTCACCGAGGCTGCATTTATTTGGTCAAAAATACAGTAAAAACTGTAAAATATCATTACTATTTAAAGTAACTGTGTGAATATTTTAATATATAAATAAACATAAATGAAGGGATGTTAAAAAAATGGTAAGATTAAATAAGAAACATTAGAAAAATAAAATAAACATGTAATGTGTTATGAGCACAAAACCAGTCATAAGGGTCAATTTTCCGAAATTGAGATTTATGCATCATATGAAAGCTGAATAAATAAGCTTTCCGTTGATGTATGGTTTGTTAGGATAGCACAATATTTGAAAATCTGGAATCTGAGGGTGCAAAAAAATCTAAATATTGAGAAAATCATCTTTAAAGTTGTCCAAATGAAGTTCTTAGCAATGCATATTACTAATCAAACATTAAGTTTTGATATATTTACAGTAGGACATTTACAAAATATCTTCATGGAACATGATCTTTACTGAATATCCTAATGATTTTTGGCATAAAAGAGAAATGTATAATTGTGACCCATGCAATGTATTGTTGGCTATTGCTACAAATATCCCCCAGCGACTCAACACTGCTTTTGTGCTGCAGAGTCATATATAAAAAATAAAACAAATATACATTAAACATAAATACTGTAACAAATGTATTTCTCGTTAACTAATGGGAGCTTATTGTAAAGTGTTGCCAAAATGTTTGTATTTATTGTATGTAGTTTGTATGGTCATGTTTTAGCCTGATTTAAATGCAACCAACCAGCTCTTGAAAAATGGGATCTCAACATTCCTGTGATCTTACGAAATGAAATGTTGTGTTGTTTTCTCAGGGTTTGGTCCAGGCTCTCAGAGCAGTAGCGGTTTCAGCTTCGCCCCGTCCAAAACTGGCTTTGAAACGACAAATACCCAGCATGCCTCTGGTTTGGGCAGTGGCACGTTCGCTCAGCCCCCGTCAGGTTTCAGCGCTCCTGCTGCGTCTGCGGCCTCCTTTTCTTTCGCAGGACCAGCCGCAGACGACAAATCCAGTGCTGCAGCAGCGTCCAGCTCTGTGTCTGCGTTCAGCTTCAAGCCGTCTCCAGGAGGGTCCCCGGGACCGGCTGACGGCGGGGGCTTCGGTCAGAGCAGCACTAGAGCTGCAGACACTGGTCTGTTCTCGGCCCACAGTGACCTGACGGCTGAAGAACTGAAGGAGTTCACAGCTAAACGCTTCACGCTGGGACAGATCCCTCTCAAACCGCCTCCTGCTGACCTCCTCGTGGTCTAATGCGGACTCTGGGGGTTTGTCTGTTTAATGCAATATTATTAAACGTGTTTATAGACCAAGAGAGAGAGTGTGTCTGTGTTTTAAGAGACTTTACGTCTATGAAATAAAAAATAGAATCAGTGATGAACTGAGTAAAACAGTTATTGCAAAAGAAGTAATATTAACAAATAAATATTTTATCTGTCTATGATAAATATTGGGATGCGTTTTATTTTTTATTTATAATTTGAATTATATTTTTACATTTTTTTCCCCCATGTTGTGCATATGTCATTTTTATTAGTTTTCTTATAGTATAGTTCTGTATAGTATCTGTTTTAATTTTAGTACATCAAGGTAAGCTAAATGAAAATTAGAAATGTTTCTTTGGCAACTAGATGGAAAAATGTTTTTCAAGTTTTTATTTCAGTTAACAAAATGTGAGCCTGCAGCACAAAAGCAGTGTTGAGTCGCTGGGGGATATTTGTAGCAATAGCCAACAATACATTGTATGGGTCACAATTATACATTTCTCTTTAATGCCAAAAATCATTAGGATATTAAGTAAAGATCATGTTCCATGAAGATATTTAGTAAATGTCCTACCGTAAATATATCAAAACTTAATGTTTGATTAGTAATATGCATTGCTAAGAACTTCATTTGAACAACTTTAAAGATGATTTTCTCAATATTTAGATTTTTTTCCACCCTCAGATTCCAGATTTTCATTGTATAAGATATTGTCCGATTCTAACAAACCATACATCAATGGAGAGCTTATTTATTCAGCTTCCAGGTGATGCATAAATCTCAATTTTCGAAAAATTGACAATTAAGAATGTTTTGTGGTCTAGGGTCACATTTATTTTATTTAGTTTTAGTTAACTATAACAACTGTGCCTAGAACACTCTACCGACACCCTAGCAACCACTTAGCAACCATCCAGAACCACAAATATTTATTTATTTATTTGCAACTTTTTGATCTAATTGGAATGATTATTTTGAATGTTTTATTGCTCAGTGTATCAGATATACTATGGTACTGAATGAGTCTCATTTATAAACAATGGTATTTACATGGCACTTCAAAGAATACGATGCTGCATTTGCAAGAAATTATTCTCGTACACTGAAAAAATAACTTGTAGGGTTTACTTGATCAAATCTAAATAACAATTAACACATTTTAAGTACATTTTACTGCTACTACTGTACAAACTACTACTACATTCATAAAGAAATTAAGTAAATATTACATAATTATATTTAATTTCACATATAGTATTAAATAAAATCTACTTGTCTAAGTTAAGTAAATTTAACAGAAAATAAGCAACTTTAGCTTGACCAGTAAATAAGTAATTTTCACTTAATCAAAGCTTACTTGGCAATGCTTTGATTTGACTTAAAATAGCACCTAATTATACCATTCTTTTATCATTTACTGTATATTTTACTTAGAAACATCTACGTTTCTACTGATATATCTACTGATGTTTACGCTTTAATTTCTACAAGCTTGAATTGAGTACTAATCAATTATTTACTTTGTTTTTTTTATTATTGCCTGACCTTAAAATAAATTACTTTTGTTTTTCTGTAGTATTTACTTCACCACAGAATAATTTTTATATACCATATCCAAAAACCATATTATTGTTTAATAATATTAATAATTTACTTATAATTAATTATTATAAAATTGCACATCATGATGGATGCGGTTCCCTCTCATAGGCTCACTTCGATGCTGCGATGGCGTCATCGCTTTGGGAATGTCTTCGGTGTGACGAATGTCTGAAGCCCTTATACTATCACGCCAATTCATTGGCCAAATAGCGCTTAGCACCGCCCCCAATGCGCACGTAGGTGAGCTATATCAGCGTGCTTCGCGCTTTTTCATCAGATTTCATTTCCTTCAGGAAGTGAGTCATCTGTCGCCCGTAGGAAAGCGTTCTTTTTGTCGTGTTCTTAGCTAATTCCTTCGAAAGAGCAGTTTACTCCTCTTCAGCGGACACGATGAGCTACAGGAGATGCATCAAGCTGTGTGACAGGTTTATCGCAGGAGGAGACACTCATGACAGGTGCATGCAATGTTTGGGCCTACAACACGCTCAAGTGGCGCTTAGCGACCTTTCTGATTGTCGACACTGTGATAGCCTACGGCTAAAAGCATTGCACTCGAGGTTCGCGGCCTTCTCAAATAAAGTAGTCCTCGCATCTAACCCCCACTATCCCGTTTCTGCTGTTGCGAGTCAACGGAATTCTCTCCTTTTCTCTCACTCTCTCCAAGCCATGTACAAGTGCTCAAAGAGCGCTACGGGGATCCCGTGGTCTTTGTCAATGATAATTTGTGGCCTACCCTGGAAGCTCGTGATGTGATGTCTTTCGGTTGTATGACGGAAGACGTGCTGTCCACAGCGGCCTCCAATTTGGAGGATTTATTGGGTGAAGTGTGCAGTTCTCTCCCTCCGAGTGGACAGGAGAAACACACCTCCCCGTCTTACAGCGAACTATTAGACGTTGTAACGCGCGCTGTGGATAAGCTGGGGTTAGAGTGGGATAGCGAGCCGGTGCAAAATCAGATCCAGTTGAAACTGGACAATCGATTTTTGTCTAGCCGCACTCCGTCTCAGCCCCGTAGGCCTCTCCCCTTCTTCCAAGACCTCCACCACGAGGTTTCGAGGTCTTGGAAACAACCTTTTTCGGCGCACATCACTAATCCCGCTGCCGCTGATTTCGCCGCGGTTTCTAAAATGGCGTATCACGGCTATGTGGCGATGCCGGCCGTAGAAAAGACTCTCGCGGCACATCTCGCGCCAAATTCCGTCGTCTAAATCTTGTGCTCAGAGTGAGCAAGTTCAAGATGCTAACAGTAAAGTCCATTGTGTCTCCGGTCCAATCCAAAGATTGGTTTGTAACCATCGATCTAAAGGATGCATACTTTCACATCCAGATCGTCAAGAGGCGCAGGAAGTTCCTCAGGTTTGCTTTCGAGGGCAAAGCATACCAATATTGTGTTCTTCCGTTCGGACTAGCTTTGGCTCCTCGAACGTTTACAAAATGTATGGACGCAGCTCCGACCTAGTTGCGGCTCCAGGGCATCCGAATTTTGAACTACCTGGACGATTGGCTAATATTAGCTCAATCTCAGGATCAGGCACGGACACATCGAGATCTGGTACTCGATCATCTGAGGAGCGTAGGGTTACGGACAAACCTACAAAAGAGTGTCCTGCTGCCGTGTCAGCAAACAACCTTTTTGGGGGTGGACTTGGACTCTTGCATGATGCGGGCACAACTGTCTCCCGCACGTATGAAGTCAATATAGACCTGTCTAGGTCAGTTCAAGACAGAGCGGATCAAGGTCCAAGGCTTTGGAAGCGGATCAACCAGAGCCTGGGAACGGAGGTCATGCGCTACCTGCTGCAGGATGGCGCAATCTTCGCCACCGTCCCGTGTACGATCTTCTGCTGCCGCGCACCTGGTCCGGTTTCTTCCTGGACCGCGCCGCGACTCAAACATCGTCTGGCACGACGCGAAAAACTCCCGCCGCCGTCACACGGAAGAAAGTTACAAGAGACGATAAGAAAATAATCCCGAAAAAGAGAGCGAGAGAGGAAGAAATGAACGACAAGCAGGAAGATCGTCCGGTAATAAAGAGGCTACAGCTGACGATGGACGAAACCGACGATGGACCGTTTAACGCGCAAAACCCGGGATTAACGTCGTCCTCGACCGTCGCGCTGTTCCATCTGCGTTCTGAGTATGCTTTACGGTGGGCGGGGCTTGAAGGGCTTCCTGCTTAACAGGAAACTCAAAGGAGGTGTGGGCGGGGCTAGACGGCTGCAGGGGGCGGATCTTGTTCGCGTCATATTCCTCCAATCGGAGTCCAACGTGTTTGACGGACAGTCCAACTTTAGGAAACTTCCCAAGTGTTTCTTCGCAATGGTTCCCTTGTTCGCTCGACTCTTACGGCAGCACAGGAAGTGCCCGTACACTCTCTTCCTGCGGAAGAAGTGCTCGGTGAATCTAGAGACTGAGGATATGGAGTCTTTGCTGAAGTCACACTCGTCACCTTACAGGGTGTATCTCTTCGTGAGGGAGTGTTTGGATTACGTTGTTCCCGAGGAACTCTGGGGATCCCAGAAAAACCAGCTCCACTTCCTGTCCGACGTGAAGAACTTCCTGCGTCTTGGGAAATTCTAGCGTCTTCCATTGGCCCAGCTGATGCGGAAGATGAAGGTCAAGGCCTGCCATTGGCTGGGACTCAAGAAACGTGTGTTTTAACGCCTTTCGTAACTTTGGTTGTTTAAAGGGGTCCTATTATGCTCTTTTACAAAGTCTTGATTTTGTTTTGGGGGTGTACTAGAACATGCTCTCATGCTTGGTGGTTCGAAAAACACATTATTTTTCACATAATTTACATTATTACAATACCTTTCTCCCCATCCTGGCACAAACGGCTCGATTAGTTCCGGCTTTGATGAAGGTCCGCCTTCCGAAAAACAAAATGTGTTGTGATTGGTTAGCTGTCCCAGTGCGTTGTGATTGGCGAACAGCTTAGACGGTGTTTCAGTACTGCCCCGCCCCTTGCTCCGTCTTTCAACAAAAGCTTTTGGGAATCCGGCACTGTCCTCCCTCATGTTGTGGAAGCTGTCCTCAGTAAAATGCGCAGCACACAATAGCAAATTGGGGTAATAATGCTCAGGAACAGAGTTAAAAAGTAAATTGCAACCACTGTTTCCTGACATCATCCGCTTTCGAAAGCCCAAACAAAGACGTTTGGGCACGGAGGTGAAAAAAAACATTGTTTCAGGCAGTCGCGCACCGGATGAGAAGCGCAGCGTCGCGTTGCACCACGTCTTTAAAATTAAAATACATTATTTTCTATGAGTGTAGGCACACCGGC